AAAATTTTTAACAAATAAAAGTAAGAGTACTATATTAAATATTTTTCAAAAGCTTAGGGGGGCGGCTGACCCCCCTTGTTGTTAATAGGCTCCGTCCCAAAAGGAAAGGGACACCCCATTGAAGTTTTCAACTACTTACAATAATGATATCACCTTAACAAGCTGTGCATCACTCAGACGAACTGAAGGAATTTGAAATTTGATATCGAGCCCACAAGGCTATATCGCTGTACCATCATAATTGTTTTTTCTGATAATTTTTTTTTTAAACAGTATGAAACTTTTTTTTTTGGGGAAAGGGAAGTAACCTGGGATTTGATCCCAAGTTTCATTAGTCCTATGCATGTCCGCAAAGAGGTGGTCAATAGGTTACCGAGTGCAGGACATTTTTTCTGATAATTTTTGAGAAAATTTTTTATTAGTGTATTTTTTAAAATTTTTTATCTTAATTTTCAGTCTTATATTAGTAAAATTGTTTTAATTAACTCTTTAATTTGTATACTAAGATTTTTTTAGGGAGTCAATAATATCTTTAATACAAATTTACACTTAACATAATCGTTAAATTGTCATTATTATTATTATTATTGTTTTTTTTGCCATCCATTAGATTGTCATTAATTAAATTTTAAAGACTATTAAAATACTTAATTGAAAGAAAATAAAGATCAAATATTTAATAATAAACAAATATTTTTTAGTGGTGATAGATTTAATATAACTTCACATAGAAATTTTTTTTATTATTAAATATTTAATCTTTGTTTTCCTTCAATTAGGTATTTCAGCAGTTTTTTAAATTTAATTATTGGTAATTTAACAAAAGTAAAAAACAATAATAATAATAATGATAATTTAATTATTATACTAAGTGTAAATTTATATGAAAGATATTATAAACTCTCTTAAAATCTTAGTATACAAATTAAAGAGTTAATTAAAACATTTTTACTAATAAAACAATAAAAATTAAGTTTTTACTTAATTAAGATAAAAAATCCAAAAAAAAACACTAATAAAAAATTTTTCCAAAAATTGCCAGAGAAAAACAATAATGATGGTATGGCTAGATGGCCGTGTGGACTCGAATGCCGTGTGGACTCGAAATGAAATTTTAAATTCCTTTAGTTCGTATGAGTGATGTACAGTTTGTTAAGGCCACATCATTTTTGTGAGGTGTTCTTTTCTTTCTTTTTGGCCGTATTCATTGGGGTGTCTGTTTCTGTTATATCAACATCTTTTAATTTATCCTTACATCAAGCAACGAGTCAAAGTCATCCCCCATTTTTTGGGTTACGAGTAAATTTTAATTGTAATTAACTAAATTGAGAAAGATGAATTTTATT